GGGGAGTCTGCTTCTCCCTCTGACCCTCCCCCTCTCATGCTCTCTCTCTATCTCATTCTCTCTCTCAAATAAATAAATAAAATCTTAAAAAAAAAAAAAAAAGATTCAGAGGTGCTCCTTCTGCCAGGCCAGTACCTAGTCATGAGAAAAAAATGAGAAATCAGAGAAAATTATGAAAGGGAGGGACTTCAGAGATGATTCATCCCAGACACACACCCTGCTACCTGCCTACTACCTGCCGTGTCCTACCCGGTCCAGATGACTCAACCACATACCCCACGTGGGCCAAGATTTTTGTCTGTCTTGTTCCAATGCCAAGCACAGCACATGGCACATAGTGAATGTACATACATCTACTGACTGGATGGATGGATGGATGGATGGATGGATGGATGGATGGAAGGTTTACTCCAACTATACAGCCCAAATGGGCTCAAGGGCAGGTTCTGCCCCTTACTCACTCTGTTAAGACCCTCTCTCTCCAGGTCTCAGTTATCACACATGTAAGTGAGGTCATTGAACTAGACCATTCCTAAGCTCTTTCCAGCTCTCTTGCCCTCAAGTCAGCTATGTCCAACAGGTGAGGAATTCTGAGCTTGTGGGCAACAGAAAGCATCACCTACATGGATTTACCTCAGTTGGATTCAAGTGCCAGACCTTTCCTACCTCTCCCCCAAGGGGTGGGCAAGCTATTAAACTTCTTTCTAAATGTTTGAAAGTGATGCTTGTGTAAGTTCACAGTGGGAATGAAGTCAGACAGCGCAGAGCTTGAATCTGAGCTTGCCTCTTCCTGGCTGTGTGACCTTGAGCAAGTAACTTAACCTCTCTGAACTCAGTTTCCACATCTATAAAACAGGGATAGTAATACACTTTGTTGGGTTGTGGAAAAGATTAAATGAAAGGATGTGCAAGCACTTAGCATAGTGCCTGGCATGTAGTGAGCACTCCATAAATGGTGGTGGTGGAGGCTGTCTAAAGACCTCCCAGACCCCATGTCTGCAGACTGCTGTGTGTTGTTCCATAGCCAACTATGGACCTCCATGCAGTTCACATGGAGGAAGCAGACACCAATTTCAGGGAAAAGGGCTGACCTCAGGCCAGAAAGAGCCTCAGGAAGAGGCCTTTAAAGGAAGCCCTTCCCATCTTCATCTTTCTTCTTACCCAAAATTCAGGCACAATGGCTGGAAATCAGGCAGCCATTTTGGGCCCTGAGGAGATCTTGAGGATAGAAGCAAAAAGTTAGAGGGAGCCTGGATCCCTGATTCCCAGGTTTCTATGAGAACAGTCCTATATTACCTACCTCAGGCTTCTATCTCATAAGAGATAAATATACCTCTAATTTCTTTAAACCACTGTTATTTGGGCTTTCTGTGTCATATAAAGAAACCTAATTTTATCTGTCCCCATTTTGCAGATAAAAAAAAAAAAAAAAGAGGCTCAGATGAGAGAAATTTACACAACTAGCCAGTGCTGATTTGGGGTTTGAATCCAGGTCTCCACAGTTCCCCTCTAATTAAATCTCCCAAACCCATTGCCACCCACAATGAGAAGGTCTCTCCCTCCCAGACTACCTGCATTAGACATGGCCAGGGCTGGAAGAGCAGAGGGAAAGGAGCTGTGATCACAGAAGGCCTCACAGAGAAAGTGGCATTTGAGTTGAGTCTTAAAGAATGAGTTAGTCATAATAACTGAACCATTTAACCAGCCCTTCAGACAGAACGGGAAGCCCCAGATGCCAGCTTGTAGCCCCAAGCAAGGTCCAGCCGTTGGGCCTGGCTGCAGCATTAGGGCATGTTTCAGGGGTCCCCAAGACCATCCTTAGGTTCGGTGATTCACCTAGAGGACTCACAGAACTTAGCACATAGTCTTACCTACAGCTCTGATCTATGACAGCAAAGGGGTACAAAGCAAACCCAGAGAAAGTGCCTGGGGTGAGGTCCGCAGGAAACCAGGTGTGAGTGCCCAAGAGTCCTCTCCCACTGGGGCCACCCAGGAGGCACTAAATCCTCCAGTAGCAAAGTGTGCAAACGCATGTGAGGTGCTGTCGACCCAGGAAGCTCAATAGAGACTCGGCACCCAGAGTTTTTATTGGGGGCCAGGCATGTAGGCACCCTCTGCCCAGCATATACCAAACTTGCAGACGCCCAAAACAAAAGTAGGTGTTCAGCATAACCCACGGTATTTGTACAGTTTAGGCTCAGTGAGCCACTCTCATCAGGGAATAGCAGGAACCCTCCAGAAACCCAAGTTCCCAGACACCAGCCAAAAGCCAAACCTGCAAGCAGGCCTTGTAAAGGATCACAGTCCCAATCCTGATGTGTTAACTTTTCTGCATGGGGAATGACACCTTCCTCCCCATTTCTGTTTTTGAAGTGATCCAGGAAATGGGTTTTCGTGCCTCAGACCCAGATGTGTAGAGAAAAATCTAGTTTACTATGGAGACCATCTCAACAAGTTTCCTAGAGAATGACCTTGAGCTAGGCACGGGCCAAAGGGCAACAGGGGGGCTGGTTCCAAGAGTCCTGAGAGCACAAGACTGGCAGGTCTGGCCCTGAGCTGGCCACTAACTCAAGTTCCAACTTTGTCAAGCATGTCCCAGAAATGAGCCTCGGTTTCCACTTCAATGAAAGGAAGGCGTTGGATTTCACCTGCGAGCTTTCGCTGCGTAACAAACCACCCCAAAAGTTGGTGGCTCAAAACAGCAAACATTTGTTATTTCTCACAGTGCTATGGGACAGCCATGAGGGTGGGACTCCACTTAGTGGTCCTTCTCCCACTGTTGCCCAGGCTCATTCATGAGGCTACAACCACGTGGCAGTCAGGATGGCTGGGCCTTTCTCCACATGGCCTCCCATTCCCCAGCAGGCTAGCCCAGGCTAGTTCCCATGGAAGCTGGGCAGGCAGGTGGCCAGAGAGAGACACAGCCCAGCCCAAATTCAAGGGGCAGAGAAATAGACTCCACCTCTTGATGGGCGGAGTGGCAGGGTAGCCTTGCAAAGGGGGGTGCACACAGAGAAGGGTGGAAAATGTAGCCAGCTTTGGCATCAACCACACTATCCCCTATGTTCCTTTCCTTCCTTCCTTCCTTCCTTCCTTCCTTCCTTCCTTCCTTCATTGCTCTTACCAGACATGGAGACACGGAGGTGACCTTGTCCTCATGGGGCCCCCTACAGCCTGGTAGGGAAACAGATGAAGAAATCAATGGGTGCCACAAAAAGTTACACCGAGTGAGCATTTATTTTATAGATATTTCTTTACACAAGACTTTTTTCCACAAAGAAATTGGATCAGCCTGCCAGAAAGGCACAAGCAAGAACATTGGGATCCAGAAAGAAAATCAAAACCAAAAGGGAAAGGAGATAGTGCTCATTGAGGACCCACTATCCCAAGCATCCTACGCACATTCTCTCCCACCCTCTTTTCTGTAACCCTGAGGTGAGCATTATCATTCCCTTTTATAGGTAAGTAAACTGTGGCTCATTGCAGATAAGTGGCCTTGCCCGAGTTCTCACGGGTCCCGAGTGGCAGAGCGGAGAGTCACACAGCTGAGTCTGGTCCCGAAGTCCATATGCTACAGTAGGGCAGCTGTAAAGGAGCCTCAGATTTGCCTCTGAGTTTCCTAGCAGCCTGAGGGAAAAGAGAAACTAAACATATGATTGCCAATTGGTCACTAGATAGGAAAAAGCCAGACATGTCATGGAGGGAAAGCAAAGCCTTTCCTAGCACTGAATCCCTTTTCATTTTCCCAAGCGAGAGTAGACAAAAGAGAGCTTGTAGTGTAGAGTCTTTGGGGCCCAGCTGTCCAAAGGTGGGCTTATATCTGGGGAGGTCGCTAAGTAAATGGCCCACTGTCCCCTGGAGAAGACTGTGGCCCCCGGCAGCCATCATTCACTGCGTGCGCGCGCACGCGCGTGCGCGCGTGTGTGTGTGTGTGTCTGTCTGTCTGTCTCACTTTCTCTTTTTATCCCCCAACCCCTCCCTTTGCCCCTGTTGTCTCTAAATCTCCCTTGCCCGCACCCAAAAATGCAAAGAGTCCCTGAGACACGAAACTGCTGGTTTTAGGAAGTGCCACTGTGTCAAGAGCCTACACACCAGATCCCAGCAGACAGACTGACTTCCTCCCCACACGGGGCTGGGCGGGGCCGCCCGGAAGCGGCCTGCTGTAGCCGAGGTGACACATCTCTGCCCCGCCAGCTCCAGCAGCAGCTGGGTCAGCAGGAACGGCAGTACAGGCCACCCTTCCCCAGGGCCTCAGAATGGACCTCTGCCACCCAGGTAAGCACCTGGGGCCAACCTCTCTGGGCCTCAGTTTCCTCTTCTGTAAGATGGGGACAATAGTGCCTGCTTTTGCAGGATCCTGGAAGGAATCAATTAATAAGTAGATGTAAGACAGGTGGGAAACGCAGAAGGAAGCAACAAATGTTTATGAGCTCAGGCTGGGTGCCAAGCTGTGCTCCAGGAGCTGGGAGTCCAGTGAACAAAGCAGGCCCTGTCCCTGCCCTCCTGAGCTCACGCTCCAGACGGGGAGACAGACAGTAAAGGTATTAATGTAATATGTCAGGAGGTGACAAGCAGGAGGAAGAATAGCCAAGTAGGTAAGGATGATGGGAGAAGGTGGTCGAGAAGGGCTCAGGAGGAGACACCATTTGGGCAGAGGCCTGGAGGAGGGAGGGAGTGATCCATATGGGTTTCTGGGGAAGGAATATTCCCGGGGGAAGGAACCGTCAGTGCAAGAAAGGTTGCTCGAGGTGAAGATGATGATGTTGGTGACATGGCTGTCTGGGCAGCACAAGGGCCCTGAAGCTCCATTTGGCCTTTGGGGATGGGGGGGTGAGGGCTGCCTTTAGGGAGGCTGAGGCCACCGCCTAGAGCGCCAGTGGAGGAGGGCCAGGGAGGAGCAGCAGAGAACCAGGGCTGAGACCCTCCCCAATGAGCAGGACCGTGTGTCCGGGGGGAAAGAGGAGAGGCACAGTCTGCACAGCTGGGAGGGGAGAGAACAGGATGGTGCTGCGTTTCTGCAAGGCACGGAGAAGAAGTGGGACAAAGCCTCTGTGCCCCATGTTCAGAATATCCCAGCATTGCCTGGAAGTCCAGAAGCCGAGCGCGGCCAGGAGCTGTCCAGGTCCCCAGGTTCAGATGACATCCACCCTGTGAGCAACAGAGCCCTTTCTTCAAACAAAACCTAACACGGAGCGGTCTGACCCCGCCCCCCAGGCCTCCCGGGCCCTGCGGGCTCTGGGGAACCCAGTCAGAGAACCACCCATCCCTTTCAACTGCCTTTCGGCTTTTGGTGGCAGGTGGCTCACAGACTGGGCGGGCTCCAGGAGCATGTCTTAGGTGGTGCCTAGAAGACAAGAGGGGACCCAGCGAGGAGCAGCGCCGGGCTCAAGGTCACTCAGCAGATACGAGGCGACAGGAGCGAGGGAGGTCATGTCTGCACACACTGCCTGGCTTCCCACCCTTCTTACCTTGTTCTTTCGGGGCTTCACAGACTGAGTCCTTCAGAACAGGGATGGTTGTCTCCACAATGAGGAAATGGAGGCTCCCAGAGGTGAACTAGAGGAGAAGGCTGACTTGCTTGACGTCAGAGGGCCAGAGCAGGGACAAGAGCCTGCAAGGAGAGCCACGGGTTAGCCTGGGCTGTGGGAGACGGGAGGCCAGAAGCTGGGGTGCTGCTCTGCTTTAGGCTGGCCCTGGGGAAAAGTGGACTGAGTAAAGTCAATGCAGGTGGTGTGTTGGGAGGTCTGAGATCTCCGTGGATTGGTCCATCCATTCATTCATTCATTCATGCTGTCAACAGTCCTCCTGTGTGCAGGTCCTGTGCTGGGCAGTGTTGGGGACAGCAGTGACCCCGCTGTAGGCCCAGCCGTGGGGGAGCTGCTGGTCCAGGATGTGGGGGAAGGGAAGACAGATCCTGCAGCACAATGACCCAGGGCCCATGAGGAAGCGACTCCTTCCACCTGGGAGGGGGAGAGCCAGGAAAACTTCCTGGAGGAGTCAGAGGGAGGGAAGGAAGGTCATCCTCCATTACCCAGAGTGGGTCTTAATCAAAGCTCCTCCACAGCCAGGTGACTTCCCCTCTCTGAGCTCAGATTCATCATCTGTCAGTGGGCACCATCCTCCCGGTCCGAGCTGGGAGAGTAAGTAGGAACTGGGAGTCAGCCCCACCTGGCTCAGGTCCCAGCTCGGCACCAACCCACCCTTGGCCGTGATGGGCCTTTTCCTTCTTTTTTTTTTTTTTTTAAAGATTTTATTTATTGAGCGAGATAGTGATAGAGAGAGAGCATGAGAGGGGGAGAGTCAGAGGGAGAAGCAGACTCCCCGCTGAGCAGGGAGCCCGATGCGGGACTCGATCCCGGGACTCCAGGATCATGACCTGAGCCGAAGGCAGTCGCTTAAACAACTGAGCCACCCAGGCACCCCAGGCCTTTTCCCTCTGTGGGCTCTGGCTCCCCATCTGTACTGTAGACAGGATGGTGAGCAAGGTCCCCCAGGACAGCCTCCCCTCCTGCCGTGTGTTCTGCCCAGAAGCAGATCAGGCCCCTCCCCCAGGGCCTGCCGGGAAGGCTAGAGGTCCAGGCAGCAAAGCCCCTACGTGACCAAAGATAGCACCTTTGGGCTGGTGCAGGGAGGCTGGGCGTAGTCAAAAATAGACACAGCTTGGCTCTGGGGGTGGGGAGGAAGCCACACGACACCCACAGAGCCTCGGGGGCTGGGCCGGGGAGCAGCTCCGCCAGACACCCCCTCCTGCCCCCGTGCCCCTCATGCTGAGACTCTGAGGCACCTCTGCCCTCGGGGCCCCAGGATCGCACCCTCCTCCTGCCCTGGAAAGGGGAAGCAGGGCCAGCTGTTCTGGAAGCGGGGCTGCAAGCAGAACAATTTCTAAAAATACGATGGAAAAGAGGAAGGACAAAGGGGAAGTTGGGAGGAGCTGGGGAACGGGTCGGGGTGGGCACCAGGGCGCCCCCAGCTGGCCTGGGCAGCCCCAGCCTGCAGCGTGGGTGGGGTCCGTCGTCCACGGGCAGCCCTTGTGAGGTGGGAAGCTCAGAGCCAAGGGAGGAGTCAACAGAGTTCATGGTGGTGGCTTTGGTCCTTCTCCTTTTATTATTTGTTTGTAGTTTTATGTCTATTGTTATCAAAATGCGCCTCCCATGAGCTGCTCCGGTGTTTGAAACTCCAGCATCACCAGGCTCTCACTCTGTGTCCTTGTCACCCTCCCCGAAACATCTGTGCCCTCAGCTCTGAAATGGGGAGAAGTCCCCGCTTTGAAACACGGAGGTGAAGGGTTGGAAGGTGGGGTGCTTCCCGTGATTGTCGGGACAGCACAGGGGTCAGAATCCTGCCAGAAGGGGACAGGGGACAGGGAGGATCCATGAGCATGCCTGTCAAACCCCAAAAGAAGCTCTGTGAAGAAAGAAGGCAAAACAGCCCCCTCCCCACCCCCACACCACCCCACTCTCCCGAGAACACTCTCCACCCACACCTGTACCTCAGTATCCCCAGCTCGAGGAAGTTGTCTTGGTTTTCTCTCTCACCCCCCCAGAAAGGGAAAGAGGAACCGACTGTGGGCATCATTCCGCATCTGGCCTTCATTCTCAAACACATCGTCATGGTCAGCATTTCCATGTCAGGACCACCAGGGCTAGTGTCTGATGGGGCTTTGATGATTTGCATGAAAGTATCTGGCATCAGAAGATCCCCATCCGGGCGGTGGCCTCGGAGTCCTAGCTGGGCCTGGGTGTCACCACTCTCCAGCTGTGTCACCTCGGGCAGGTCACTGGACCTCTCTGAGCCTCGGGTGCCGCACGTATAGAATGAGATCAGACAGACCTTCCTCCGGAGCTGTCGTCGGGATCCAAAGGGATAGAGGACAGCGAGAGCCCGGAGCCCACAGGGCCTGGCACATAGTAGGGGCCCCAGCAGCGTGCTGCCCCCAACAGATAGCCTAGCTTGTTTACTGAGCAGATCCCGGAACCACTGCGGAGACAGGAGGGACGTGAGGGAGAGGCCCAGACACCGCACCGGAGGGCACCTGAGAGGGGAGAGGATGAGTGGGAGCTACCAGGCCGAGGGGAGAAGGAAAGGCATTACAGACGTGGGGAGGGCCCACGTGGGAGCAAGCGGAGGACGTCCAGGAGGCCGAGGGCCGGGGCAAGGACAGTGCGGCGTGCACTGAGGATGGCGCTGTGCCTGCGGGACTGGTGGGCCCTGGGCAGATTTGGGGTCTTATCCCCAGCACAGGGAGACTGGATTGGAGGTGCCGAGTGGAGGCAGGGAGACACAGGGATGCCCTGCAGTCATCCAGGGCCGAGCCTGTGGTGTGCATGGGAGTGGGGCGGGGCCGTGGGAACAAAGGGGATGGGCAGGGCGTGGCGGTGGGGAGACTTGAGGGAGAGAGAGCAAGAGAGCACTGCGTGTCACGTGTCTGCTGGGGTCCTGGCCACTTCCAGGAGCTGTAAGGATTAAAAGGCACAATTTATACAGAGCTACTGGCATAAAGTAGGGGTTTTTGAGCTGAAGGTTAATGGGCCTCTTGCTTTGTCCCCTGGTATAAGGGCCACCTCCCCCCTCCTCTCTGGAAGCCAGGCTCTCTAGGCCTGCCAAGCTCGGAGTTGCAGGGACAGAAAGGAAAATTCCCAAATGGGGGTCACCAGGAGGCGGGTACACGGAGTCACTCCTCCTTGTGCCTGGATCTGTGTCGGTGACCTGTTGGGGACAGAGCACCACTAAGGGTCGTTGGCTTAGGGTGTGTACTGCATCCGGGTGGACGGTGCCTGGTCCAAGCAGGATGTCGGCTCCAAGCTGGTGTGTCTGCTGCACCTTCAAGAAGCTGTGCCTTCGCTCCATCGGGCTGGCAGCCTCTGGGGGCGAAGTGCCTGAGAGGACCAGCAGGGCCAGGGCCGTATTCTCCTCCCACACCGGCTTCTCTGTAAATAGGGTCCCTTGAGGGCCGCCTGGGTGGCTCAGTCGTTAAGCGCCTGCCTTCGGCTCAGGTCATGATCCCAGGGTCCTGGGATCGAGCCCCGCATCGGGCTCCCTGCTTTGCGGGAGGCCTGCTTCTCCCTCTCCCACTCCCCCTGCTTGTGTTCCCTCTCTCACTGTGTCTCTCTGTGTCAAATAAATAAATAAAATCTTTTTAAAAAAAGTTCTCTCTGTTTGCCAAACTATGGAAAGAGCCCAGATGTCCATCGGCAGATGAATAGATAAAGAAGATGTGGTATATATATGTACAATGGAATATTACTCAGCCAACAAAAAAATGAAATCTTGCCATTTGCAATGATGTGGATGGAACTAGAAGGTATTATGCTAAGTGAAATAACTCAATCAGAGAAAGACAATTATATGATTTCACTCATATGTGAAATTTGAGAAACAAAACAGAGGAACATAGAGGAAGGGAGGGAAAAATAAAACAAGACGAAATCAGAGAGGGAGACAAACCATAAGAGACTCTTAACCATAGGAAACAAACTGAGGACTGCTGGAGGGGAGGGGGTTGGGAGTTGGGGTAACTGGGTGATGGGCATTAAGGAGGGCATGTGATGTAATGAGCACTGGGTGCTATGTACAACTGATGAATCAGTTAACTCTACCTCTGACACTAATAATACATGGTACATTAACTAAATGAATTTAAATAAAACTTAAAAGATATTCTCTCTGCTTTCATTTGAGAAGGATAATGTCTGTCCTTAGAAAACCTTAAAGAAATGTGAGCAGGTATTCCGTAAAGCTAGGACTTAAAGGGTCGGGGAGTGTATGGATAGGCAGACAGGCATGCCAGGGTGGAGGATCTGCATGAGCAAACGTGGGGAAATAAGACAGAGACAGTTTGGGGACAGTGAGGAGCTGGTAAGGGGACTGTCAGGCTCTTAATGAGAATAGTGGGGAATAAGGCTGGCTGGGAAGGCCAGGATCAGGATGAGAACTTTTCTCTCTAAGTAGTAGGGAGTCCTTGGGGATTTTGACTGGGTGAGCGTTGTGGATGGAACAGGATGCATGATGGGTTAGAGGTGGGTCGCTGACCCCAGTGTGGCACCTTGCACAGAATACCAGCACACACATGTCTCCCTTCATTCATTTCCAGGTGATGAGGAAGGAACCCAGGCTTTGTAGCCAGCCCAATCCAAGTCCCACTCTGGCTCAGCGGCTTGTCCCTGTGCAACCCTGAGCAGGTCACCTCATCTCTCTGAGCCTCAGTGTCTAGAGCAGGGACTGTGAATTGTCCCCCAAAACCCAATCTCCCCATCTTACATAATAAGGGTATCAGGACCACCATACTAAAGGCTCATTTCCCAGCTTCCCTTGCAGCTAGGTGTGGTCATGTGACTACTTCTGGCCAATGCCATGTGAGACAAAATGATACACCACTTCCTGGTTGTGCAAATAAGTAAGTGGATAAATGATAAACACGGGATCCAGGGAAAGAGTAAATGAAAGTTCCAAGGAAGGACAAATGCCTCCAGCAAGTATTCTGAGTACCTGCTATGCGTCGGGTTCTTTCTAGGGGCTGAGCAGTGAGCAAAATTGTTGATGTGTCTGCTCTCATGGTGCTGGGAGTATAATGAGTAGAACAGAAAAGATGCAAATAAACAAAATGGTTTCAAGGAGTCTGTACCGGAAGGGTACAAAGCTGGGTAGGAAGGGAAGGTAGAGGAAGGGCCTGCTTTAGAGAAGGTAGTCAGGGAAGGCCTCCTGGAGGAGGTGACATCTGGACCAAAGCCTGAGTGATGAGGGCAAGCAAGCCATGGGTTTCTGGAAGGAAGAGGGCCCTGGCAGAAGCAAGAGCTAGCCTGTGTGGCTGGAGGGGAGTGATGGAGGGGAGGGTGGTGAACGGGCCAGTGACCACTGGTTCTTCTCTCTCCAGACCCAGCAGAGCTGAGCAGCGGGGAGACAGAGGAGCTGCAGCGGATCAAGTGGCACCGGAAGCAGCTTCTGGAAGACATCCAGGTGTGTGCACACTCACACACTCACACTCACAAACGTGCGTGCGCATGTCTACACACACATTCATGCTGACACACCTTCCAAGCACACCCACCCAGAAGCAAACACTCCTACACGCTCACACACCTCCCCACTCCTGACCAAGGCTGGTCGGACAGCAGGGCCAGGCTCCAGCCCACACGTGGCCTCGGCCCCGGCCCCCAGGAGTGGGGAGACCAGAATCCCAGGGGGACTCCCCACTGCCGGGCCCAGCTGCCAGGACCCGGAGAGAGCCAGGAGCGTGGGGGAGGGAAGGGGGCAATTGGCTAAGCACCTACTGTGTATAGAGCCCCGCCCAGTGCTCTCTACACTTCACAGCACGGCAGGCTCTACTCCCATCCGTGTGGCCCCCATCAGGCCTCACCTCCACGCTGGGCCTCAGTTTCAGCCCCTCTAAAACTTAAACCATTTTGTCAAGATAACACCGGTATGTGCCCGGCACTCGCCAATGCACCAGTTGCTCAAACATTCACCCATGTGATTTTTAGCCCCCTGTGAGGCAGGCCCTGGTTCTGTTCCTGGAATGTGCCAGGCTCCGTCCTGCCCCTGGGCCTTTGCACTCACAGTTCCCATAGCCTGGGACTCTCCCAAGCTCTCCTCGTGGCACCTCAGTCTCATGACTTCACTGTCAGCTCGAATGCTGCCTCCTAGAGACTGCCCTGACCCTGACCGCCCGGCTGGGGTTGCGGGGACCCCACCCCCACCCCACACACATCTACCCTAAGAAAGTTGAAGATACAGAATCATTCACTCAGCAGGTATGTTCTCGAGACCTACCACGTGCCATGCTCCTTCTGTACCATGACTCCAATCATTTTCCTTTTTTTTTTTATTTGAGTAGCATTGACACGCACTGTTCCATTAGTTTCGGGTGTATGACATGGTGATTGGACGAGCCTATCCCTTACGCCGTGCTCACCACAGTGTAGCTACTCAGATCATTTTCTGCACAGTCATTTCATTTGCCCATGGCCCCATGATCCCAACCCCACCCAACTGGGAGCTCCACAAAAGCTTAGGTTTCTCTTGCCCACCATCATACCCCAACTCAATAGTCAAAGCATAGTAAGTGCTCAATTAGTAATTACAAGTGAATCACGGGGAAGTCGCTCAGTGACTTGGCCAAGATCATCACATGGGCAGACGCTGACTGGGCTCAGGTCTAGTCTCCAGGCCCCCATGCTGCCCCTGGGTTCCCGGACAAGCCTGGGGAACCACGCTCATGCCACAGATTGCAGGGAAAGGTGAGGAGGGGCTGGGCTGGGTTCTAGGGGCTTTTGCCAGGGACTCATGTTGCTGCTCCGCAAGGGGTTGCTGGACAAGCCGCCACTCTGCTATCTGCCCAGGGGTTGTGGTTGGCGTAATTAGGGGGTCCTCTTCCCCTGGGTACCTCCTGCAGGGTCAAGATGAAAAAGGCTGGAGGGGAGTGGGGAAAGCACAGACTTGGAATCAGACCTTGGACATGTCACGTCACCTCTCTGCACCTCAGCGTCCTCTTCTGTAAATTCCACTGGGATTACAAGGTCCCTGAGAAGAGGGCCTGCGCTCTCTGGTACCCTGGTGTACCCATGACTCCTGGCCCATAGTGGGCACGGAGTCAAGGGCGAATGGCAGAGTCACTGGATGTGGGATGGAAGCCAGAGAGGAGTGTCTAAAAGGCAGGAGACACCACAGCTACAGAGGGGAGAAGGAAGGCTGGAAATAGAATGGGGGGAAGGGTGGGGACTTGGGGACTACCTCCCCCAAGACAGGGGCCTTTGGGGAATTGGATATCAACAGGCAATAGGTTGGGTTGGGATTGTGAGGATAAGAAATATCTGGGAAAGTGGTCTGTCAGGGGTAGGGGCACTCAGTGGCAGCTCCGTGGAGTCAGCGGTCACGCCCAGGGGTGCAAGTGGGTGTGGGGGAGGGTGTTCGGGAATCTCTTTCCGTCCCACCCTCCATCCCTGACTTTCCCGCCCTGTCGTGCCCCCTGCCACCCCACAGAAGCTGAAAGACGAGATCGCAGATGTGTTTGCCCAGATTGACTGCTTCGAGACCACGGAGGAGAGGTGAGGGGCCGGGCCAGGGGACACTGAGAAGCTGCCACGGTGGCTTCCCAAAGATGTCACACCCCAGGAATGAGCATGAGGGAGCAAGGGGCCATGCGTGGGGCTAGGGCCCTGGTGAAACCAGGGGTCGGCCTGGAGGAGGCGGCAGTGGAGGTGAGATAGGAACAGGGAGGACCCTAGACTCCATCGCGTGGTCTGGTCTGGTCCTTACTTCCAACGGCCCCCTCTTTTGAGAGACACCCCACCCTCAACGCCTCCACCCAAAGTCTCTCCCAACCCACCCTGACCCAGCCCCTGATCAGTCGCTGGCTGCGAGCATCATGGGATGGGCCGGGAGAAGGGGAGTTCAGCCCCAAGGAGGAGGACCAGGAGCCAAGGGCCTCACAGGGACCAGAACCTGGCCGTGGCAAGGCCAAGGCTGGCCCACCTCATTCCACCCATAGGGTGTCATCCACACGCCCCTCCTGTGGGAAGACTCCCACTGGCTCTGTGACCTGGGGCTGGTCCCCTTCCCTCCCTGGGCCTCAGTTTCCCCACTTGTGGAGAATAAGAATCTTGGTTCAGGAGCGCCTGGGTGGCTCAGTCAGTTAAGCGTCTGCCTTCAGTTCAGGTCATGATCCCAAGGTCCAGGGATCGAGCCCCAGTTTGGGGTCCCGGCTCAGTGGGGAGTCTCCTTCTCCCTCTGCCTCTGCCCGCGCCCCCCCCCCCCGCCGCGACTGCTCATGCTTTCTCTTGTTCTCTCTCTCAAAAAAAAAAAAGAGAGAGAGAGAGAGAATGTTGGTCCCTACATAATCCCCTAAGGCCTCAGACACTGACTGCTACAACTTTGTCTCAGGAAATCAGCCCTGCCCCTGCCACCCCTTGGTCTCCGATCACCTTTCTAGCCCCACACACCAATCACACAGGCAAGCATGGGCACGCACGTGGCTGCCCTGGGTCTGCAGAGGCCTTGTTCCAGCTCCAACAATAACACACATTTACAGAGCACCTACCACCGAGCTATTTTGAACGCTTTCACCTCTCCACAATGCTGGGAGGCAGGTGATGGTGTCATCCCCATTTTACAGAGGAGAAAACTGAGTCCCAGAGAGATAAATGATTCACCTTATGTGGCTCAGCCAACAAAGTAGTGGAGTGGGATTTGCACCAGGAGTCCAGCTCCAGAGCCCGTGCCCTCACCCCCAGCCTCCCTGTTATCCTGCACAAGCCCCTCTAAATGCTCTCCCTGGAGCAACTCTGGGCTCCCAAGGCCATGGCTCCAGAGCTGGTTAAAATGCTGGCACTGGGCCCATCGGAAGAGTCTGATTTAGTAGCTCTGGGAGGGGCCCAGATCCTGCATTTCTCGTGCTCTCCCAGGTGATTCCGATGCAGGGTATGAGGACCCCACTTGGAGGCTCTTGGGGAATATTGGTTCTAGCTGAGCAAAGCATCCTTGGGGCTTGGAGGGGGTGCCCTGGGGTCCTGGGGGCAGTCCAGCCTGACATCTTTGTGTCTACAGCCGGTTGGTGCAGAAGGAGAAGGAGCTATGCATCGGGCGTAAGAAGTTCAATATGGACCCCATGAAGGTAGGCAGTTGTGGGGGGCTCAGGTGGTCCTGGGGCCAGGGGAGCTACAGGCTGGACACCTTCACAATGGCCTCTTGCTCCCCTCAACTGACAATTACCCACCTTATAAATGAGGAAATTGAGGCCCAGCAGAGCTCAGTACCTGTCCAGTGTCCCACAGTCCATCAGGGCTGAAGGGCTCTGTCACCCCATAGCATAGTATGAGGTGGGAGCCAGGAGGATGTGGGGACATTGCGTGAAGCCCACAGACTTGGAGTCCGCTGGCTGAGCCTCCGCTTCCTCCTTTGTGAGTAGGTCTTTGGACAGTGGGGCCCTTAGATCCTGGGGCTCAGTCTCCAGAAGTGTCTTCCAGCCTCTCTGACAGGGGAAGCCAGTCTGGGGCCCCTGGCACGCAGCACCCAGGGCTTGCCCCTCCCCCACACCCCCCACACCCCCCCACCTCTCCCCCTGCCTCCGAGCAACCCCAGCCCCACCTCTGAGCCAGCTAGGTGGCAGCCGGTTCCCTTCCTGCTCGAACAAAGACAGGAGGAAGCCACAAGCTGACACACGGAGGTGGGGTCAGGGCAGCCAAGGGGTCCCTGGAAATTTACTGCCCTGGCTGAGAAGGCTGCCTCTTCCCCATCACAGTGTCACACACCGGTTCGCCTCCCTCGGACCCCGGCCCCATCCACACGGAACACACACACACACACACACACACACCACAACGCATGCACACACACATGCACACTAACTCCTACTCCCACCAGAGCACCGGAGAGGGGCCCCTGAGGGGTCCCAGGACCTTCTGTCTGTCACTGAGAGCCTCCCCCCCACCTGCCCCCCATCTTCCAGTAACCTCTTCCCCAAGACAGACAGGGACACGAAGGAGCCCTCACAGAAAACCAGAGACCAACTCCTCAAACTCCCAAAATTGGACAGATTCTGAGTGCCGGGGCTGGTGGGGGGCAAGAGGTGTGTGTGATATCGTCAGATCAGAAAAGCAGTTTCACGTAGAAAGGGAAGGAAAGGCGCCACACCGGACACTGTCTCCCTCTGAGTGGTGGGATTCAGCCATTTCCTCTCCTTTGGATTTAGCTGGGTTTTTTCTGATTTTTATACAATGGACATAGATTATTTGTGAGAAAAAAAATAAAACACTATTTTTCAATATGAGTTTTAAGGGGACAAAAGAAATGTCTGAATCATTGAATCTTAAAGTTATAAATTCATAGAATCATTGAAGCATATAATCCTAGAGTTCAGACTGAAGGGGACCTGGGGAGACCATGGCGTGAACCTGGTTTGCAGAAATGCTATCTCTCTTTGCATGCCTCCAGTGATGGGGGACGCACCACCTTACCAAGTCAGCTTCTAAGGAGGACAGAACCTCCCAAAACAGTCTGTGCCTATGTCAGAATGCCAGGCCCCAGTGCCCCACCACCTGTCCCGCACTCTGGCCACGGAGGCCCCCTCCCTTCCTCCTCTCAGGCCAGCAGCTGTGTGGGGGCTGATCGTGGGCTCTGTGTACCCCCTCCAGGGCATCCAGTATCTCACTGAGCACAAATTGCTGACCCCCAACGTCCAGGACATCGCCCGGTTCCTGTACAAGGGCGAGGGCCTCAACAAGACGGCCATTGGCACCTACCTGGGGGAGAGGTAAGGTGGGGTGTGGCCTTAGGGAGATGGGGAATGAGGGTGTGCAGATGTGCACAGGTGTGTGTGCAGGTAAATGAGGGAATGAATTATGTTAGGGAAATCATAACTCTTGGGCTTGAGAGGAATAATTGATCACTCTCCTCCACCTTCTGAACCAAAGCCTGGCTTCCTTCCTTCCTTCATTCACTCATTTGTTTAACAAATAGATATTTTTTAGTATCTACCATGTGCCAGGCAGTATCTAATCCTTGAATTTACCCTAGTGAACAAGACAAACAAAACTCCTGCCCTCAGGGAGATAACATTAAAAGACAGATCCCAACATATGTAAAATATGTTAGAAAATTGCAAGTTCTTTGGAATGCAAATAAAGTAGGGAAGGGAGATGAGAACCACTAGGAACAAGGTCAAGGGTTGTGACTTTAAATATTATAGATAGGAAGGGTCTCGTGGAGGAAGGGTCACGTGGAGAAAGTGATGCTTGACACTTAAAGGGGGTAAGCAGTGAAGACATCTGGGGGAAGAACATTCCAAACAAAGGGAACAGCACATGCAAAGTCCTGGGGCAGAAGCATGCTCAAGGAACAGCAGGCTGGTGAGATTAGAAGAGACCAAGGGAGGGAAGAAGTAGTAGGTGACAAGGTGGGGCTCCATGGGAGGGTTCTGGGCAGAGGAGTGGTGAGAAAGGACCCCTCTGGCTGTTGGGGGTGCCAGGTGGGCTGTAAGTGACAAGAGGGGAGCTAGACCACCGACTCTCCTCCCAGGCTCCCCGGTGAACACATTCCTTCTCCTAAGAGAGCAGAGGATGCAGGTGGCAGAAAAGGGCAGAGCTTCCAGATTTGAGCTGGGAAGTGGGAAGAAATAGGAGTAGGCGTGGTTCTCTCCATTTTACGGATGAGGACACGGGGGCTTGGGGAGGTCCAGTGGCTTGAGTAGGGTCATCCAGGCAGGAAGTGACAGAGGAAGGACTTGACGCAGGGCAGGCTGCTCCGAAGCCAGGGCTCTCCTCCCGGGTGAACACACCATGGGGGGGTGTGGGGGATGATGTGAGCTCAGACAGAGGTGAGCAGACCAGAAGGTGGCTGGGTCCAGAAGGAGGACGTGGCTCCCGTCCCCCCTCCCCCCTAGCCCCCTCCAGGAGGTGGGTGCCAGCAAGTTCCCAAGTGCATGTGCCCTCCTTCCTGCCCTCTCCAGGGATCCCTTCAACCTGCAGGTCCTCCACGCCTTCGTGGACTGCCACGAATTTGCCAACCTCAACCTCGTGCAGGCCCTCAGGTGAGTGGTCTGGAGAGCAGGGCCCGGCCCCCGGGGGTGGCCCAGCCTGGGGCGGGGCAGGGGGATCAGGAGCCACACTCATGGCACAAAAGAGCATCACCCCTTGGTCTCTGATGCCTCTGATCACCTTCCTGCGGCCACTGCTCCTCGTGGTCTTACATTATTTCAGCCGTATTTGATTATCGTGACGACTGTTACTACTACTTCTGCTATTCCCACTACTTTTGAGATTAGTGTTACAGCGCAGTAGGTATTGCCTTTATTATGACATATTAAACTCTGGAGCCAGACTGCCCGGTTCATATCCCAGCTCTGCGACTCATCCCTGGGGCAAGGCTCTGTGCCTCAGTTTCTTCATCTGCCAAATGGGAATAATAATAGGACCAATTAGGGGCTCCTGGGCGGCGCAGTTATTTGAGCATCCAACTCTTGGTGTCGGCTCAGGGCATGATCTCAGGGTCCTGGGATGGAGCCCCACGTCGGGTTTGCACTTAGCAGGGAGTCTGCTCAAGGTTCTTTCCCTCCCTCTCTGCCCCACCACCCCCCCGTTCCCTCTGTCAAATAAATAAATAAATCTTTAAAAAATAATAATAATAGGGGCTCCTGGGTGGCTCAGTTGGTTAAGGGTCTGCCTTAGGCTCAGGTCATGATCCCAGGGTCCTGGAGTCGGGACCCGTGTCTGGCGCCCTGCTCAGCGGGGACTCTGCTTCTCCCCCTGCCTCTGCCCCTCCTCTTGCTCATGCTCTCTCTCACTTGCTCTCTCTCAAATAAATAAAATAAGTAATTAAATATTTAAAAATAAAGAAATAAAAATAATAATAATAACAGTACCAAATTCATAGGGCTGTACCAACTAAACAGAAAGTACTTAGAATTGGCTTAGTAAGCCTTGCTGCTATGAGTAATGCCTGGAAAATCAGCTCCCGAATGGGGGCATTTGATCTGGGCTTTGAAGGGTGATTAGGAGTTTGCAAGGCAGAGAAGGAAGAAGCCACTAGAACCCAAGCCATGTGGCCTACCCTCCAATTCCCACGCTCTTTAAGGGAGAGGGGTAAGTGCTCAGGAGTCTCCAATATTCAATCCTTCCTTCTTTTGCTCGTTACTGAGCAGTCCCTGGGCGCCCAGGCCGGGGTGAGGCCAGCGGGAGGTGTGAGAGGAGCAGTACAGACAGCCCTTGCCCTTGGGGAGCTCAGTTCGAAGCTCTGGAAGGGCTTAAGTTCACAGAACAGGAAGCCCAGCCAGCGGAAGGCACCTGCCCAGGGGTCCCCAGTCAGATCCCAGGGCAGACAGAGGCCCCCTCTGAGCTGAGGTGGAGGGGGCCACAAAAGGTTCTGGGCCCAGATGGGGAGGGGGGCACCACTCCACTTTGAAAGAAAAGGCACCTCCCCGAGCGCCTAGAGGACAGGGGCAGACTCTCCCATGTACAGAATAAAGACTAAGGCTAAGAGAGGCATAGCAGCTTATCCAGGGTCCCCCCCACCCCGTGCCACCGGGATCCCCACCCTCCGCCCCATTCCTCCCCCAGACAGTTCCTGTGGAGCTTCCGGCTGCCAGGCGAGGCCCAGAAGATCGACCGGATGATGGAGACGTTTGCCACCCGATACTGCCTCTGCAACCCAGGCGTCTTCCAGTGCACAGGTGCCTGTGTGGGAGGGGACGTGGGGCTGCGGGACCCCTCCGGAACTGCGGGCACATGCCCGCCCCACCCTCTCAGGTCCCCCCCCGAGCACCCAGACCCTGGGAGCCCAGGCTTCTTCTCTGAGTGCCAACGCTGGGCCAGTCCCTCTGCTGGACGCTTGTCAGGCAGGGCTGCCTCAGGGCCCGGTCCTTGGGAGAGGAGGCAGGAAATGATGCACAGTCCCCCTGGCTGAGGGCAGCGATGGCAGAGTCAGCCTATCCAGGACGGCTTCCCAGAGGCAGTGGGGTCTGAACAGGGCTTTAAAGGATGAATAGGAGTTCTCCAGCGGGTCAAGGTGGAGAAAGGACCTTTCGGGCAGGAGTTTTCATCAGGGCAAAGGCCAGAAGAAGGAAACACGCCGGGCAGGAGGTCGGGGGCACAGGGGTATAGAAAGATACCAGCAAAGATCAGTACCGCACACACCGCCCCGCCCCCAGCAGGGTGGACAAGAAGTCTTCGCGGCAGGCTTGTCCTGGCTTCTTCTCTGTACCTGAAGTTACCGCAGCAACAATAACGAATCCCATTTCTTGAGCGCTGCCTGTGCAAAGTCAGGTAATCCTTGCCTCCGCTCTGAGGTCAGCAGTGTTCTCCTCTCCGCGTCTAACACAGACTCCGAAAAGTGCCGTGGCTTGTCCATGGCTGTGTGAGCATAGTCAGGTCCCATGGAGCATCTGCCCTCTCTTGTAGTTGCCTATAAATTGGGGGTGTGTTTCTTTATCATTTGTCACCTCCACCAGTCTAAATACCCCACAGGGGTAGGGACCATATCAAATTTATTCACCAATGAATCCCCAGTCCACAGCATTTCATGGGTGCACAATAAATACTTATAGAAAGGACGGAATTTTAAAGCACCAGATTTAAATCACAGTCTAACTGCATCATTTTGTGGCCTTGGGCATGTAACTGAAGCTCCTTGTGCCTCAGTGCCCTGCTCTGTACGATGGGGTTAGTAAGGACACTTGCCTCACAGGGTTGTGGTGGGAATGGACAGCTATTAGGTGGTTCTGTTGGGTGCCACTGTTTTCAGGGGTAGAATCGTTGATGTCCTAGAGCATGACGATACCTCAGATTAAACCTCCTGATGTCACAGATGGAGAAGCCGAGGAGGTCAGGTACGTTCCCAAGGTCCACCAGGGAGTTGGGGACACAGCTGGACTTCTCTGGCTCTGGACCCAGAGCCTAAAAATGCCCCAGAGGAGCAATCACCTCCCTCCCAAATGCTCAGCCCGGCCTCGCCCCCAAGCCCATGAAAGTCTGAAGAATGGAACAGGAGCTTGGGCCCCAGGAGCCCCGCAATGCCGGCAAGATTGCCAAGCAGCACGTGACTAAGCCTTGAACAGTAGAGCCAACAATAAGTGTTCTCCGAGTTCTGAGGAGGCAGAGAACAGAGTGGGCAGGGAGGCTGGAAGAGCTCGGGGAGAGGCTTGAGCTCAAGCTGAAAGGGGAGGGTTGAGATGGGTAGCAAAGGGAAAGGGAGGGCGTGCCTGGCAGGGGGCCCAGCAGGAGTCAAAGTGCAGGGGTGGGAAGGCGTGGGAGGGGCTCAGGAGCGCGGCAGCGGAAGTTTCTTTGGAGCAGGGAGGCCTGTAAGAGCGGGGAGGAGGCCAGGCCTCGAATGCCAAGCTAGGACAGCATGGACCTTTGGGGTGTTGAGACAGCTGATGCTTGGCCCCTCAAAGCGGTCAGGGCAGAGGAGGCGAGAGTGACCAGGGCCAGGACTGTGACTGCTGTCCCATCTCGCAGACACCTGCTACGTCCTGTCCTTCTCCATCATCATGCTCAACACCAGCCTCCACAACCCCAATGTCCGGGACAGGCCGCCCTTCGAGCGCTTTGTGTCCATGAACCGAGGCATCAACGGTGGCGGTGACCTGCCTGAGGAGCAGCTGCGGGTAAGAGGAGCGCGACCTGACACTCCTGGTCCCCAGGCATCCGGGAAGGGCCCGTCTTTAGGTGGACAGTCCAAGAGGGGCTCCTCTGAGATAGACCACTCCAAGAGGGGGCTCTGAGATGGACCACCCAGGTTGGTGACTGTCTTGAATTGGGCCACCACCAAACGCATCGGTCCTGACATGGGCATTCCCAAGTGGCCCCCATCTTAAGGGGGATGTCTGCTGTAGACCACCCAGGAGGCCCTCCCAGACTTCATCCTTTGGGGAACTCTGGGCACCCATCAGTCGCACTTTCCAGAAAGGGCACCTCACACAACTCGGGTGTGTTGCTTGGAATCCCAGATTCTTAGAGTCTCTGCATGTCAGGGCTGAAAATCCTCAGACTCTGCTAAAAGCCTTCCCTCCTCCAGAGAGGGGGAAACTGAGGTCTTCCACAAGGCAGCTTGAGAGCCAAGCAGAACGCGGGCCTCCCCGTCTCTTCCTCAAACAGCCCCCACACTGCACCAGGCCCTGTGCCCGGCACGGGGCACCTGGGGATGAATCAACCACCCAGGCCAAGTTCAGGGTCTGGTGGGAAGATGATGCCTATGTGAATTATAGCCCCATGTGATCCATGCTGTACTAACTACGGGGACATAGCTGCAGAGACACAGAGGACATTACTGTCGCTCTCCTGGGGGCAGAGAAAGGAGGCCATCCTGGAAGACTTCACAGAGGAGAAGACTTTTGAACTGGGCCTTGAAGACTGAATGGGAGTCTTCACAGAGGGAAACAGGGAAAGGACAGTCCAGAAAAGGGAAACTGCCAGAACCCAGGCCTCGCCTGGCTGGGAAAGGGAGAAGGGTCCGCAGTGGCTGGCTGGGGGTGTGGGTATGTATGGATAGGGACAGGTTGGCAAGGTGGGGAAGGAGGCTTCGAATGAGCCTCAGGGGGTTGCCTGGTAACTATGGGCAACACGGAACTGGAACTGTTTTGTAAACACAGGAGTGAGCCGTAGAACCTGGTGCAGCAAAAATGAATTGACAGTTCATTTCCAGGACTAAAGATGCCCCAGAACTCAATAAAGCTCCCGTTGCCTCCTGGTGACAGCCTGGCAGGAGGGGAGGAGAAGGTGAGAACCCCACCCTCCCAGCTTAGCACCCCGCCAGGTCTGGGGGGAAGCCTGGGTCTGGAAGGACTTGGGCGCCCCTCCCTGTTTGAGAACGGCCACGCCCTTAGCCCACCCCCCTCCTCGGTCCCCAGAGGAGAAAGTTTATCATGGGGGTGGGGGTGGGGGGACCACAGCACAGAATGAGGCCTTGAGAGCTGGTTAGAGCTCGAGTCAAATCCCCGTCTGCCCCGTTTGTCTGTCGGTGACCTTGGGGAATGACTCACCCCCCCTCTCCAAGCCACCATTCTCTCAACCAGGATAATGACGCCTGCGTCACCGAGCTGCTGGGAGTAGCAATTTGTAAAAATGTAAAGGGCACAGCCCCTGCCAGGTACGGAGCACAGGGTCTAAATGGTGGCTGAGGTCACTATGAAGAATAACTAATAATAATTTTAAAACCCCAGCACTTAGCAAGATGCCCGAAATCTAAAATGCATTTGGGAATCAGTAAGTCCTCTCGTTGTGGTGCCAGTGACGGGAGGCTGGGCACACCTGGTCTGGCAGATAATGAGTTAATGGCACACCAGCGTTATTGCCTCAGCCCCCCAACCTCCCCCATGAGCCTTCTTGAACACCTCCCTCCTTGGGCATGTTTCCCAATTCAAGCCTTTTGTTAATAACAATGCGCTACATTTGTGTAGAGCTTGTAACTTTCTCCTCCTGGGGCTTTAGGGTCTAGTATCTCAATTTAAGGTCACACACTGCCTGGGAGGTCTGGGAAGGGTTTATTAGTCCCTTCCCAAGGTGCAAAGAGAACCACACAAGCCTGGTCCTTGCTGTTCGGGGCTTTTACCGCAGAAGTCTGGGGGGAAGCCTGGGTGCTGTGTGGTTGGGGGGGCATCTGCCTGCCTTCTCTCTGGGCCTCATCTTCCCTATAGGTAAAGCAAGACCTCACCTTTAAGCACCTTCAGATATTCAAAGTTTGTCACTTTGTGGAAAGATTCCCCATCGTGGTACTGGAGCTTGGGCCCTGCTGAGGACACATAATGCTTTTAAGCTGGGCAAGGCTTCAGAGAGATGCACTATGGGAGGCAGGGGACAGGCGGGTTGAGCCCGTCTTGCCCTGGCTATCCTGATAGGGATGAGGCAGAATGCCTAAGAGACCCAGGGCAAAGGTACAGGGTGTGGACTCAGAGGATAGGAGATCAAATCCTAGCTCTGCCCTTTATGGTTATGTGACCTTGAGTGTGAGCCTCAGTTTCTTCACCCGCAAAGTGGGCAGATGATGGTGCCCTCGGGTGGTTCTCCTGAGAAGCCGAGTTAACGCACTTCAAGCTCCTGGCACTTGACAGGCACCCAAGAAATGCCAAGAAGGGGGCCACTCACCTTGAAAGAGCTGCCCAGAGAGGGAGCTCAGGTGGAAGAGCGGAAAAAGGGAAGAGGCCAAGAAGGAGGGCCCTCCAGCCTCTGGTGTTATAGGTGGAGAAACTGAGGCTCAGGCAGGGGAACAATCTCCCAGTGCAGGGTATCTTCTGCTGTGGGCAGCCCTGGACCTCCTGGGTTTTTGTCCAAACATCTTCATCAGAACTGACCACATACCGGGCCCAGTTCTGGGCACTCTATGTTCTCATTAACTCCTCCTGACACCCTTAGGCAGTGGGCACCCTTCCCAGTTCGCAGCAAAGGAAACCGACCTCCTAGAGCGGGAGCTGGCCAGGGGTCTCACAGTTTGTGAGGACATCAGATTCGAACCCATGCCTCTCTGACTCCAGGGCCCTTCCTTCAGCAGAGAGCAGAAGGCAGGATTTGGGGATGGAGGACTTGGCTGTGTTTCCCAGTTACCGGTTGCTTCCTGGCTAAAGGAATCTCAACTCGTGTAATGGAAAAGATCAGGGATCGATTTGGCTTCAGATCCTCCGGCTTCAGGCTCAGCTAGATCCAGGTGCTCAGTGAGGTCAGGACTCGATCTGGTCTCTCCATCTCTCTTTCCTCCATCTTGGCTTCCCTCCTAAACAGGCTCTCTTCAAGCTGCAGCAGAGACTGCCCAGGCAGCTTCAGGGTTCATTCTCACTTAGCAGCTAAAACTAAAGTCCCAGAACTAAGGCTTATTGGCTGGCTTGGGTCACACGTCCTCCCGGAACCAGGCACCGTGGCCAGCAGGAGGAAATGTTCTGATTGGCCAGATGGGAGTCATTCGCTCCTTCCTGGAGCCTGGGGCAGGGGGGCAGTGGGTGTGAACCCCCCTCAGCAACCTGGACAGAGAGTGTCTGGCGGGGAGCCCCCAGAGGAAAACCGGGGGCGGAGAGAGACAGAGACAAGACCAGCAGAACCGCTGGAAGGTGGCATCTACCCAGCCAGGTTTGGTGGCCACCAGCCCCCCACCCCGCCCCCGCTCAGGGGTGTTTACTTACAGGGGAGGGCTGGGGTTTACAAGGTGCAGGAACGGTAGATGAACCGAGCTGTTTCCTTTGTGGGGGGCAGAACGTGCAAGCTGATAGGCCACCCGCAGAAGCTGCCAGGGGGCCTCTTGTGGGTACCGCGGAGGATGAGACCCCCCTGTCTGGCCCCCTGCTTGCGTCCTGGGCCTCCCAAACGTTTGTCTGTGCTGACAGCTCTGCTGACAAGGCCTTTCTGCCACTCCCTTTGTTCGATCAGCCAGCACCACCTGGGAATTCCCAGGGCTGGGCCTGGGCAGGAGGGGCAATAGGGCTTCCCAGCTGCACTAGGGGTGCGGGGGTTCCAAAAAAGGGCCTGTGGTCCCTGCTTCTCCCTACGCCCACCCCAGCACAGCCAGGCTGAGCCAGGGATTCTGGAGTCCATCCGAAGCCACCTCCATCAAGCCCAGGAAAAGCTGCTTCTGGTGGGATTGTAACCATCCCCACCCCCACCCCACCCCGGAGCTATCGGGTCAGCAAAGACCTTTTAAAAACCAGCAAACACCATTTCTAAAACCTTAGGGGAATCCAACGGTACTTGTGAAATTTTTCATTTCAAATCTCAAGGAAACCATCGGAACAGCAGTATACACAAAGGCAACAGAAGGGAGCTAATTATCTTCGAGATGGAGATCCAGCATTGGGTCTGGTTTTAATAAGCTGAAACAGTTGAGAATGTTTTTCCAAACACTTGGAAACATGGGCAGGTTGATCACAGAACACAGGGCCCTGTGGCAGGCGGTTCAAAACACACCGGGATGACACTGCAGACAGGTCTCCGCCCTGGCTTGCATACCTCCAGTGACGGGGATCTCATTACCATACCAGGTTGCTCCATCCATATGCTAGCAGCTCTAACTGCTAGAAGGTCCTGCATGGAGAACTGAAATCTGCTTTCTGGGAACTCCCACCCCTGCGACCACAGCCCACCTGGAATAGGTCCCTGCCCTTGAGAGCCAAGTTCGGCATCCCATGTTGAGTCTGTCCTTGGGCTGGGCTTCTTGACACAGGCAGTCAATCCCCATCTCCCTGGTCGCTCCTCCGTGTCCCCCTACCCAGGGTATACCTGGAAGTCTCTGCTACTGCAGCTAAGCAAAAGGGGGGCCCCCCTCCCCTCATGGATGTTACCTAAGGAGGCCCTGACTCTGGCTGCTCTGCCCCAGTGTGTGTGTGAGTATGTCTGAGCGTCTGTGTGTGCACACACAGGCAAACAGGTGTGGGGGTGTACAGGTCCCAGCCGAGTGTCCTTGTCGGCAACACTCTCAGACACTGGGGTGATGGTCTCTGACTCCCTCATCTGACCTGTAAGAGGGGTGCTGGGTGGCTGGGTGAAGGCCGAAGCTGTACTCCTCCCTCCCTCCTCTTCACCTTCCCCTAGACTTAGGGCAGGGAGGGGCTCTGACCCCTGTGTAGTCCATTTACCCCCCCCACCCCACCCCAGAACTCTGAGGGGTCAGCATCTTTCTCTCTATTTCTGCTGATGAGGACCAGCAGCTCAGATAGGTTGAGGAACATGCCCATGGTCACACAGCCAGCGAGTGACTAAGCTGAGACTTTAACCCAAATAGCCTGACGGCCAAAGCCAGTGCCCTTCTGGAATTCTAGCAACGGGGGCCGGGTGGGGGGAGGAAAGGGGGGGACCATCAACCGACTGGTCGGTAAAGAGTTGCCAACCTGTTTGAGGCCAGGCCCTGGGGGAGTCCTGGGGGTTGTGACACCCAGGCCTGCCCTGGGGGAGCGCCCCACCCAGTGGGGGAGACCCAGCCCAGCAAGCAGACAGGCATGGGCGAGGCAGCTGGGCACAGTCTCTCTGAGGAGCGGCCTCCGCGTGCGTGCACTACTCTGGCCACAGAGTGGGGAGACCTGGCGTGCAGTGGGGTTGGGGGCCCCAGCAGCCTGGGGGAAGCAGGGAGCGTTTCCAGGCCACACGGACCCAGCAGGGTCCAGGCTCCAGACTGGGATGGACATCACAGCCCGGTCTTCCCCTCCCTTCTCTGGGGACAGAACCTCTTTGACAGCATCAAGAGCGAACCCTTCTCCATCCCAGAGGACGACGGCAATGACCTCACTCACACCTTCTTCAACCCCGACCGCGAGGGCTGGCTGCTCAAACTGGGTGAGGCGCACACTCGGGCACACTTGGGCACGTGGCATGTGCGCTCAGACACATGCAAGCACACACCACACACGCACACATTGACATGCAGCCTCAGGGGTGGAGTCAGGCAACACCCCCGCCCCCCAGCCGTCCGCCTGCCCCATCCCTCCATCTGTCTGTCCTGGGCAGGAAGGGAACTGTGGGGGAGGGGAGGACAAGCAGGAAGAGGAGATGAGAGGCCCATAGACCCTTCAACTACAGGCCTCTCTCTCTTCCTGGAGGGCTTCTAAGGAAGGCCGGCCCAGAGAGGTTAGGGTACCTGTCTGAGGCCCCACAGCCAACAAGTGGGTGGGCAGAAGGTTGGGTGTCCCTGAAGATGGGGGAGGAAATGGGACAGGATGTGGCTCAGGGGAGCTTCCCTTCAGCATGACAAGGGGGCTGGGAGGACCTCCAGCCTGCAGAGAGGAGCCACGGGTGGGGGCTGGGGTGACGGCTCTCACAGCAGGGACAGACTGCCAAATCTGGCAGGGGAACTGCAGGGCCCAGCGCTCCTGGATGCCTCCCCAGCGGAGGTAGCCCAGCCAGGGATGGTGGCGTTTGGAGACAGGTAAGGACAGACACCTCGTGTTGCAACAGAGACCTGGGCTGGGGATGCCCGCCCCAGCCCTCCACGGCCCCATGCCCGGATGCCAGCTGTTCTGCAGACCATGGTGACTCCTTCCTTGCCCGGCAGACAGTTCCCAGCCCCAGGGAGACTCTAAGTCACAGATCCCAGCTCCTCCCTGCACGTGCCAGTGGTCAGGTTCCTCGGCCTTGGTTTCCACGGCTGTGAAATGGTCATCACGAGCACTGGGAGAGTTCAATGTGTGGCAAAATGGCCAAGCACTTGGGCTCTGGAGCTAGGACACCAGGCTCGAATCTGAGCTCTGCTGCAGGACTTTGAGCAGATGACTGCGCCTCCCTGTGCCTTGGTCTCTTCATCTGTAAAATGGGGTTAATAACAGTCCCCTCCTCATAGGCGGTTCTAGGGATTAATAAGCAAATATTTTCTAAAAACATCTAGAACATTGTCTGGCAAGCAAAAGACGAAATACTTAGCACAGTGCCAGGCAGGGAGCCGGCCAAGGGATGAAATGAGGGGGAAGGGCGGCCACTGGTCCTGGGGCCTGATCTTGGAGGAGCCTCGAATGCCAGCTCAAGCGGACGGGGGTAGCCTGGGGTGATGGGCGCCGCTAGGGTGTTTGAGGGACAAAGTGATGGGTCTGGGGGAAAGTGTGGTGGGCTGGGGGTTAGGAGGCTTGAGAGGAAGGGGCAGAGGAAAGCTCTCCAGGCCCCGCTCTCACGGGAGGAAGTGTCAGTGGCCCAGGGAGAGGAAGTCTGGCTGACTGCACCATTGGCCTCTCGCAGGGGGCCGCGTGAAGACGTGGAAACGCCGCTGGTTCATCCTGACTGACAACTGTCTCTACTACTTCGAATTCACCACTGTAAGCAGGATGCTCCTGAGCCTGCCCCTGCCCCTCTCCCCACTCCCAGACTAGTGCTAATCAGTCCACTCACAGAGCTTGGGGCCCCTTTGAGACCATTCAGCCCCCCTCCGCACCCATTTCACAGGGGGGGGAGACTGAGCGGCAAGGAGGAGGAGGGGCAGCCTCCTAACTCCCTGCCTGGGCTCTCCGTGCACTGCTCCCCTCCCCCTCCAAGGCTGGACAGAGTCTGGGGAGATGAGTGCACTCCTCTATGAGTTTGGGGAGCCCCACAAGTTCACTCCCTGCCCTGGGTGTCAAGGCTGCATTTGCTGATCCTGGCCTTCCCCGGCCCCTCCTGCAGGACAAGGAGCCACGGGGAATCATACCACTGGAGAACCTCTCTGTGCAGAAGGTGGACGACCCCAAGAAGCCAGTAGGTGGCACAGTGGGGTCCTGAGAGCCCCAGCTGCTGGGGGAATTTCTGAAATGGGGAGGGAGGCCAGGGGGCGGCTGGCCTGGACCCTCCAGAACCTGGGGGCAGGTCAACGGCATCAAAAGGGCATGGTCTCATTGTCTCTCAGAGCCTGCCTCTGACACTGGCCGATGACCTTGAGTAAGTCTCTGCTCCTTTCTGAGCCTCAGTTTCCCCAGCAGTCAGCTGGGGGTTTTAGGGGAAACGGTGGATTTAGGTCGTGCCTGGCACATAGTAGGTTCTCAGCGTGAGGAGGAGCAGCTCCTGCCCCTTGGCCCTGCATGGGAAGCCGGCCTGGGGTGGGGTGTGTCTTGCTGTCGGTCCGAGCCCCAAGTGGCTAGTCCTCGCTGAACACCCGGGAAAGCCCGGCCCGGCCGCCCTCTCCTCCCACCCCTACCCAGCCCTCACCCAGCCACCTCCCCGCAGTTCTGCCTGGAGCTCTACAACCCCAGCTGCCGGGGCCAGAAGATCAAGGCGTGTAAGACGGACGGCGAGGGCAAGGTGGTGGAGGGCAAGCACGAGTCTTATCGCATCTCTGCGTCCAGCGCCGACGAGCGCGACCAATGGATCGAGGCCATCCGGTAAGGGCCAGCTGGGCCTGCTGTCCCTCCCGGAGGCCCCTGCTTCTCTCTGGGCCTTGTCTCTTTGTCCGCAAAAGGGGTTAAATCCAGAATCTCCCTCCTGTCTCCGGCATGCAAATCCCTGCCACCCAGATTCTGTAGCCAGGCCCCAGGACACAGGGGAGCAAGGCCCCAATTTCATGGGCTGGCGGAACGATCCCATGAGATGTTGCATGTAAAGCTCTCTGCCCAGTGCCTGACCCGTGGTCAGTGCTCTTGAATGACGCTCTCATTGGCACCAGGATCCAAAGGGGCCCTGGAAAGACCTGGTGGAGAGGGAGGGAAGGGCTCTCTAAGGGGAAGGACCAGTACCGGCAAAGACGAGAGGGCAGGTCAGTGCAGGGCCTCCCTGGATAGCAGCCTGGTGTCCTGGGGGGCCTGGTGCCGGGCAGTGCAGGGGGCCTGGCTCTGCAGGGACCGGGCAGTGGGAGACCAAGTCCTTAGTCGCCATGGCAACTAGTGCGGGTTTCTCCTGGGGGCACTGGGGAGACTGGTAAACAGAGAAGGGGTGTGGCCAGGTGAGGAAGGCCATGGTGTAGGGGCTGATTTTGAGGTGCCGGGATGGGCAGTGGAGGGAGCCAGGTGAGGGGCAAGAGCCAATGGGGAGACGTGGGTGATGGTGGGTCCTGTCAGCCAGAGGATGACACCGAGGAGTTGCCGGGCCAGGGGCTGTGTCCCAGGGACTTGCGGGGTCTTTCCCCTCAAGCCGTGCAGCAGTCCTGTGAGGTGGCCAGGCCAAACCCACTCTGACCTCCATTTTACAGATGAGGCCCCGAGCCCCCCCAGGGGAGGGACCTGCCCCCGCACATAGCCAGTGGGGGGCAAGCAGGCCTGCTGGCTCCATCTGGGCTCCTTCCGCCTCCTTCTGGGAGTCTGAAGAGGGGTCCGGAGAACTGGGGGAGGGGGGGCAGAATTCCCAAAGCTGTCCGCTCTCAGCCTCACCCTCTCCCGCCCGGCCTGTGGGACTCCGGGCAAGGCTGACTCACCGTAACCTGGTCCTTGGTGGGGCCATCTGGCCTTTCTCCTGCAGCCCGGCAGGCCATCCCCTCCCTGGGAGACCCACGCCCCTGCTACAAACCCTGGGCGCTGGGAGCCCCTTGGCAGCCAGCCCAGCCCTGCGATCTTTTCACCTGCTCTCATTTCAGAGGCAGCATCACCCGTGTCCCCTTCTACGACCTGGTCTCTGCTCGGAAGAAGAAGATTGCCAGCAAGCACTGAGCTTCCTGAGAGGTGGTGCCGGGGGGTCCAGGGGTCACGGGAACCCCATGACCTGTGGTACCTGGAGACTTATATCCCACCCCAGGACACCCTTTTCTGGCGCATAGACATTGTCCCCGCCCCCATGACTTTGAGCTACCAGGAGTGGGGGGTAGAGGGGGCAGGGCTCAGGAGGGTGGGTGGGAAGCCTCACGGGCTCAGAGGTGACACTTAGGTCCCCCGGCTCTCGGCACCCAGGCACTGCCAGGAAAGGCCCCTGCCCCCTGCCCACGTCACTGCAGCAAGGAGCGAGGAAAGCAGCCCCAGAACCCTGCACCCTGTCCTCCCTTTGGGCCTCAGTCTCCTCTTCTGTGAAACATCTCCTGGACTCTGAAACGCTGTCGGCCCTCGAGGGAGGAGGAGCCGTGGGGATCCTGAGTGCTTCCCGCCCTTGGCCATGGTAATGCCTCCTCCTTCTGCTCAGGGGGTTCTCAGCCAGCCCCTCCCCTGTCTTTGGCTGGGGCTTGGCCGTCCCTGCCTGAGGGACCCACACACACAGCTCAGACCCACAGACAGGACCGCCGGGAGACGCCAGGAGCACTGGACTAGGAGCCCAGCACCTGCAGACTCCATCCCAGCTCCGTCTCCAAATTGCTGTGTGTCCTCTGCCAAGTCACACTCCTCTGGTTCTTGGAAAACTGCGGGGTTTGGATAGAAACGTCTTGGTGCCTTCTGTGTCTGTGCCCTTCACCCCCAGCAACGGTAGCAGCCCCAGTGCAGATCCCAGCGGTGCCCCACCTGCCACCTCCCTCCTCACGGACCACTTCCTTTCAGTAGAAGGACAAGATTGTACTGGGTCCACCTAAGGAGCTTCTGGCTGGAGATGTCTGCACTTGATGCCTGAGCTGGTGGGGCTCTGACCGAAGGCTGCAGGGAAGCCAAGAGCAGAGTGGGCTCCAATCGCAAGGATGTCCATTTTGGAGGAGGGGCAAGTGGGAATCCTCAAGAAAACGGCAGAGAGCGTCCCTGACAGATGTATGCAAGCAGGGCTGGTGGTACAGCCACGAAGCCAAGAAGAGAGCGCTTTGTGAACCGTGGTGACCAGGAGGGCGGCCTGGAGGCAGCGTCCATGCCACTGAATGACATAGAAGCTTGTGGCAGAGCCTCAGCCCCAGCCTCTCTGCTGACCACTGACCAGGGGTCCTGTGGTGGTGAGGGGCTGCCCCAGCGGGTCCTGGCACCCTGAGACCCGCGGTAGCGCATCAAGGCTTGAGCTGACTTCCCAGCACGCACGCAAGCAACTCTGCCTTCAGGGAGGCCCCAGCCTGGAGGAGGAGTCCTTGAACAGGCTCCTTCTCAGAAGCCCTTCTCACCGCCTCACACAGGCTCTGGGGGAGACCCTGGAGGGCAGTTCCCTGGCAGGAAAGCAGGAGATGCGGTTGCGTCTGCCCCACCACCAGCCTGAGTGGGCGAGCCAGAGCGAGGTGGGCTCCCCAGGGGAGGGGAGGCAGTCTCTCGTCCCCTCCACCCCCACTAGCACACGCACACCTTTCGTGGGGTCAGGGAGAGAGTAGCTGTCTTGTGGGGGGTGAGATCCTCGTCTCTGGAGGTGTGCGAGTGTCTGGTAATGACACGGTACCGAAGAGGGTCTGGGATGGGCATCTGCAGGGGGCCTTGGCGGGCATCTGAGGACTTCCACAGACCCCACGTCAGCCTGGGAACTGGATGGCACCGCTGCCACCTCCTTAGGCCCCTGAAGGGACAGCCGGGGGTCATGGAAGGAGCACTGGGCTGAGGGTCATGGGCTCCGAGGTCCTCTCCCACCACTGGCACACGCTGGCTGTGTGGCCTTCACCCCCCGCCCCCCTTTCCCTCTTTGGTCCTCAGCTTCCTCCCCCATCGTTGAGAGGGTGGAAGCAGTGTTTTGCAGGCATGAGTGGCTGTCCTGGAAATCACTCAGAAGACAGAATAAAGCTCATGATACATCTCGGGAGTGGGGTCTGTCCTCTCTGTGACCACACCTGCCGTCCTTGACGCCCTCCCCCCCCCTTCAGGCCCTTCACCCTCGTTCCTTTCCCAGCTGAAGGCAGGAGGACCAGACAGGGAAGAGTGGGCCCTCAGAGGGCCCCGGACCCTCATCCTCTGGGCAACACGGCTGCCACCCAGACAGATGTCCCCGGAGGCTGGATTTGTGACGGAGGTCCCCTCAGAGCAGGGGCAGGGGAGAAGTGGCCCTGTCAAGGCCAGGGAAAGGCAAAAGAATTTCCCAACAGGCAGTGCTGGCTGAAGAGAGAGTGAACGGCTGCCTCGGAAGGCAGGTATCCAGGCTGGCTCCAGAAGGACGCAAGTACAGGCTGACCCCAGCGGTCACTGGGGACGGGGAGGAGGGTTCCCAAGCTGGAATTCAGTAACCTTCACTTATTGGTACTTTACACAATGTTTAAGTAGCTACAGTGTTCCAGGCACTGGGGGGACAAGCCCACATGGGGTTTACAATCAGGCGATCCTGAATCACAGGGTTCTAGGCAGCCCCCTCTGGATGTAGGGCGATGAAGTGGCCCTCACACCCTCTCCCGGGCCCCTGCCTGAGATTCCACCATTGAGCTGCTCCTTGAGGACTGACGGTGCCAAACCGATCGATCAGTCTCTCCATACGTTCTTTGCTCCGGTCCCGGCGCCTACCAAGTACCAGGCTCCATGCAAGGAACCAGGCATCCAAAGATGATGGAGATAAATCCGTGGCCCTCAAAGGGAGTTGGGGGCTGCTGGGGAAAACCGGTGCGAAGGGGCAGGGACAGCCTAGACCAACCCGCACTGTTACGGCCGGGGGCACGGGGGCCAGTGGAGGGCTGGGCTGGGCAGAGAGGCTTCTCAAAGGAGCTGTGCATGAGTGTTTGTTGGCAGCCAGGTCGGGGGAAAGACACACACCTGATCTTGCAGCGAGCTCACCTTGTGTCTGCTGCACCCCACCCCGACACACACACACACACGCACACACACACACGCACACACCAACTGTGAACTCCTCCCAGGCCAGCCTGTCCCTGCTCAGTGTTCAATAATTCTTGCTTAGGATGAAACCCACTGAAAAGGCCCTCTGGGCCTCAGCCTCAGCGGGTGCAGGTGTGTAGAGACACAGGGAACTGGGAGAAAGTTGGTGCTGCTGCGGGTGGGGGGATTGGCCAAAGAGGTGGACAGCCAGGGCCACATCACAGTCGGGAAGGACCAGTGGGCTCGGACTTGCTGGCCCAGGCCCCTCGCTGCTCCCCAGGATGGCCCTCTGCCCACCTCCCCACCGGCCCGCCACTCCTCGTTGTGGGCAGCAGGGGGCTCCCACCACACATGAATGAGAGTTGCCACCGTGTAGGCAGCCGGGAGGCCTGAGAGCTGCCCTTTGCGGGAGCGGAAGCTGCCCAGAGTAGAGCTTGGGCCTGGGCATCCCAGAAGGGGAAGCAGCTGGATCTGCAGGCTCAAGCAGCCTGCTCACAGGCACCGATGAGCACGGGCCTGCGTTCTCGCCTCCTGCCGGGCACAGGGCCCCCTGCTCAGCCGAGGAATCAGACACCCTGGCTCTCTCACTTTCTGTCTCTGGGACCCTGCCCTAGCGGCCTAGCCCCTCTAGATGCGATCTTCCTCCTTGAAGGGTTGAGCCAGGTGAGTTCCATGACACGACCTTTAATGCGGACTTCCCTGTACAAGGGGGTCTCAGACATGGGCCCGATGCAGCCCCTACCCTGGGGTGAATCGAGACGGTTTGGAGGGTGCGTTGGGGCGGGGTGGGGGGGGGGGGAGGAGGGGCGGAGTGGATAAGAAGGTGCCTCAAAAGCCACTCACTGTGAAGAGCCACAGGGGGGCAGTAGTGAGAGCCACCCAGAGGGCCTGGGTTCAAGGCTTAACTCTACCGTGTCTTAAGCAAGTTTCCTAAGAGATCTGAGCTTCAGATTTCCCATCTATAAAATGGGAATAATCCAATATGTTCAAAATACTTAGAACAGTGTTGGGTACCTACTCAGAGTTATGTTAAGTGCTATCATTTTCATTACAAAGCAAACCATGCACATGCTTTCATGGTACAAGACAGGCTGGGGCCATAGAAGGAGGAAAGAGTCGTGGAGTCAGGAGAATTGAAGATCTGGGAAGCCTTCTTGGAAGAGGTGCCTGTGAAAGATAAACTAAGTGGAGGCTCTTCCAGCCAATGGGGCCAAGAGGAGCTAGGACAAGGAGGCATGACAAGGCCAGGTACTTCTGGTATTCCCTTGGGCCCAAAACACAAGTCTCAGCAGGCCAAGAGTTTGAGGGAGGCTGGGCCCTGGCAGGGGTTGAGCTGCAGGCACAATAATCCCTCGGGTCTCTGAGACCACAGTGGCCCTTGTCATGATGCTCTGGCTGGGGATCCAGGAACGTGGCTGCTGAACAAAGGCCATCCCAGAACAAGGGAGGACAGGCTTGGCACGGGATGCCCTGGGATGGAGGAGAAAAGAGCAAGGGGCTCCGGGAGGCAAGGGGGGGCGTCTGCCCCGTGCCGGGGAGTGGGAGCACTTCCGGCCTGGAAACCCAGAGCTGGCACTGGGGCCCTGGGCCCGGACACCAGCAGGCAGGAGATGGGGGGCGGGCAGCCAGGAGTCGAGCGGCAGGTGTGAGAGACCTGGAGAAATTGATTTATTAGGGACAATGAAAGAAGCTAAATATGTTTGCTGGCTCAGCGATGACTCAGGCGTTCCCCAGGGGTCCAAAAAGTGTGAGCATCAAAGAATCAAAGACAGGTCTCCTCCCACCCTGGCTGCCAGCTTCGAGCCCCTCCTTCCCGTCGATGAAAGGCCCACCCCCGCCCAATGCCCAGAGGCAGCAGAGACCCAGCCATTCCTCCAGCCTGCATGCCCCCCACCCTGCCAGACCTCCCCAGAATGGCTGAAGAAGTAAGACACATCTAGGTCAAAGTCCTGGCCTTGCCCTAAATTTCTGCATGATCTCAGACAAGTGGCGGACCCTCTCTGGACCCACAGTCACCAGAGAGGACCAAACCCCACCAACAGCCCTTCCCCCCCCCCCCCTCCCCCCCCCCCACCCCATTTGGCTTCTTCTAGGCAGCTGTGAGCACAGCCTCCTCTTCCTAAAATCCAACTTCCCTCCAGGAGAAAAGCCAGATTCCACCAGGCCTCCTTGAGGGAGAACATGTTCTGATACCTGGTTCCAGGCCAGCACTGGGCTCCAGGAGAAACATGGATGCGTCAGAGGCTGAGGCCAGAGGCCAGGAAAAGAAAAGAGGAACAAATGACCTCCTTGAGGGCAAAGCACTGGGGCCTGCAGTGAGGGACAGGGGAGAAGGGCCGGTAGAGATAGGGTGGGACACCTGCCAGACAGTGGGGAGGGGACGGTCCTGATTGGAGGGACTGCCCAGGGAAATGCGCAGAGCCCCAGCACAGTGGCGTGGCCCCTTGGGGAGCAGCGAAGTGCCCAGTGGGCATAGAGGGGACCCGCAGACCCCGGAGCCCGGGAGCCAGGGAAGAGCTCACTGGGAGAGTGGCCAGAGGCTGCTTGTGGGGATGGATTAAGGAGGTGCAGGGCAGCATGGGGGCTGGAGGAAAGGGGTAAGGGACAGGCAGAGGTTGGATAGGAGCAACATGGGTATGGGGTGGCTGGGAGAGCCAAGAGGCTTGACAGGCATCTCCTGCACCCACCGCGCAAGGCAGGAGCTAAGGCCTCCATCACCTTTGCCCTCAAGGGCAGTATTTACAGAGGTCTCCCTTTATATCCTCCTCTGAGTTCTTAGTTGACGCTCAAAACCAGCCCACAAAGACCCGATGCTCCAGATTTGGCCCAGACACCCAGCCACCTCACCGTGCCGAGCATCAGTAGGTCATGGCTGGGGCCACCGCTCACGGAACACCAGCTATGACACTGGGGCCTCTGCCAACCCAGTGCCTCCCCACCTCCCAGTGCTCTCCAGCATGAGCACTATCGTCCCCACTTTACAGATCCCCACTTCCCAGGGCCACATGGCCCAGACAGGAGGGCCTGTGCCAGCATGGAACCAAGGCTGCCCGGCTCGAGACCATGTAGATTTAGAGCGGCCACAAAATCATCATCCAAAGTAGGACCCGTCAGAAAGTACTAGAATGCTGGGTTAGAGGGGATGCCAGCACAGGAGGAGTAAACCAGGCTGCCCCAGGTACCCCGAAACATATGCTCACCCAAGAGACTGGTCACATCCACAGGAGTCCACCTGGGGACATCCAGGTGGCCCTGTGGGCCAGAAGGGATGTGACCTATGGCTGCTAAATCCTAGAGAAGCAAAGGGCTGAGGTTCTATCCAGAACACATTGGGCCCCAGGCCTCTACCACCACCCAATGCCCCGGAACTCTTCCCCTTCGTGAGTTTCCCCAAGTCCTGCCCCAGGGCTAGTGTGTGGGCTAATCACAAGGACAGTGAGCCAAATCCACAACATGCCCTCCACAGATGTTACCTGCCACTCTTACATTCTTGTTAGGGGCTTCCTTACAAGGCCCAGAGCAAGGGTACCCCCACAGGTGCCCGGGGCTGCCCATACCATCCTCCCAAGACCAGCTGAAGCCCTCCTCCTACAGGAAGTCCTCCCTGACCACCCCAGCCCCTTTAAGACTCCGGAGATGTCAGAAAACAGGTGCGCTAGCCCCAAACCTCCAAAGGAGACCCAGCACCTGCTTTTGTCCTGATCTTAAATGCTCACAGTTTTGGCTTTTGGCGTGCCGGTCTTGTGGTTGGCGGCTGCAAGTCTCAAGGGAGGGTATAAGCTTTAGTTCTGCCGCTGGACTCCAAACTCCCCAAGCCCTCTCCTTCTCCCCATCTCTCAGCTTCTGCACAGGGACTTCCAGCCTCATCCAGGGATGCCTAGGCCTGTAACATCATCCTTCTCCTTTCTCATGAGGAAACTGAGGCTCATGGAGCTTAAGGGACATGTCCAAGGGGCGCCCCACCACGGAGGCTCCACGAGGAAGACAGAGGCAGGCAGAAGG